GTATTTTATTGTTTCAAGTAAAGCAAGAAAAATGAGGAAGCCCACCAAGCTATCAGCTTCTCTAGTTTTACCAGTATGCTATCAACATGGCATCATAATTTGCACATTGCGAAACATAACCCCCCCACCCCCCACCCCCACCTCACCTCACCAGCAATCATAATTAAACAAAATGCCATGATTTAACAAATAATGTTAAGCATTGTCCTGTCTCTCAATTTCAGTACGCCAAAGCATAGGAGTGGAAAACTCCTATGCTCCATTACCATACAATCACCCAGCAAACAACAATGGTGCACATGGGCACCAATGTTAATATATTCAAAAGTATATAATTGCTAGAAAGCCCACTTGAAATGTGAATAATGTGTCATTTATACCATACCTTGTGCATAATTTAGTCACTAAACAGCACGTTTGTATATTATAGACAATATAATCAGTATTTAAAGTGTGAGCAGTTTTATTACAGTCTGTTTTCATTCACAGTGAGTGTCATCATGAGCAACAGAAAGAATGAATGAATGGTAAGCTTTTTGGAGAAGCCTCAGAAGAAGAAAAGTAAGATGAGAGCAGTAAGAAAATGAGTGACAGGACAGGACTATGTCGTGCTGAAGGATATGAGTCGGTGTTCTTGAGGTAAAAGTCACTGCCATTGAATTAAGACATTGTTATTAATTGCTATTAAACCACTTATAACTAGTCCATCACAATACTGACTTTGTCTAAATGAGATGGGTTTAACATTAAAAATATAACAAATTTCCCACGCGTGGGACTAATAAAGGTTATGTTATGTTATCTTATAAATAAAATAAACAAAAAACACGCCGAGACTCTCAAACATTTCTTGAGTGAAATCAAAGTGAACCAGAACCCAGTCATTTTAACTGTACTCCAGAGAGAATATCCTTAAGGAAGCAAATTTAGATTAGTAATAAGCATTTTGTTGCACTAGAAGAAACTGACGTTAAACCTATTAAAGCAGCATTTATAAACAAATCTTAGCCAGTCTGTTGCGCACGACAAAAAAAAAAAGAAGAAAAAACTTGTTCTAATTTAATTTGAATTTATGTGATTTATAAAGGTGTCTGAAGCTTTATTGTTTGTTTGTTTGTCAAGCAAACATAAATTGCTAACACTACCTGGACATGAAAAAAAGATTACTTTAAAAAAAAAAATCCTAAACAAGTAGAGTCAGCATCAGAAACACAGTCTGTCGGGGCACACACCTTTTTATTGAGTTTATTCGGGAGGACTGAGACGCCCCCAAAAGCATTGAGCTCTTCAAAAAGTGTCTCGGTGTTGAGCTTACCTCTCGCTAATGTGGTCGGCGCCTGCGAACCAAGAAGCACAAAGATGAAAAAACTCAGGTAGCATCCTCCCGAGAACTGTCCCATCACTGCTCTGCTTGTCTCCCTCCCCGTCGGGTCTGGGGGCACCGGCCTCGGGTCTCGTGCATTTGTCGTTTGCACGAGACTCCTTTTAACACGTTTCCGTGTCCTGATGAAAACCTCTGTCCAGGTGGGCTAGTACGTGTCCGCCAAAGAGGACCGTCTCCTAACGGAATCGCAGTGCGGAAGGAAGAGATGGAAAGCGGTGCGGAGCTTTCAGCACTCGCCACTCAGCTGCGCGAGAGTGGAATAATTAGACTGAGCGCGCGCGAGCCAACAGCTTTCGCTGTTTCAGAGCGCGAGAGAGGGAGAGAGAGAGAGAGAGAGAGAGAGAAAAAAGTGAGTACGAGGTCTTGTTGAAACCCCGGTGGACCTGTTAGGGCTTGACAAAACGTGTGCGTGTGTGCACGTGCACACAGACAGTTGTTTGTGCTCGCGCCTGTATTGACCAGATGTAATGACCAATTACCTCTGTCCTGTTTCTGACGTTTCTAGAGGCCTTCGAACCTGTAGTTCTGGACGACAGTGTGGTCATTAAAATCGACACCGGTGTGTTGCATCTCTTGCCAATGGCATTGTCTGGAAAATTACAATTTTCTAATTACTGCCGTTAACATATGACCATATGGTTTACAATTGGTGTCAATTAAGTGGACGTTTTCTCACTTTACTCTCATTCCACCCAAGTTCTATTGGAGTGATAGTTCTCACTTTTCAAAATGACATGTGGAATGGGGCGCGAAATATTTAAGTAATGTAAATAATATACCCGCTCTAATTTTCAGAGAACATTTGCAAAGCATTGCTTTTGATATTGCACTATTACTGAAGCCTTCATCCGTACTGTAAGTAGCCATTTAGCTGGGATATGGTTGTAATGGAAATACTCTGATCCATTTGTAAGCAAAAGTAGTGCTGTTCTCTAAGAAAATACTCCAACTGTGGATCTCGAATTAAACACTACTTAAGTGAAAGTGCATATCATCAGCAAATTCTACAATAAATATAGAAGTACCGACTAATTGGCTTTTGTCAGAGTTGTATTATTTTGTGTTATACAATTACAGAAACATTAGCATTTAAATAGGATTTTAATGGTATAGTTGGCTGAGGTGAAAATAATTCTTGCTATTGGATAGATATTCTCATTAAAGGTTTTTGAAATTTGAATTTGTAAAGTAAGTCATTATAGCTGTCAGATAAATGTAGTGGAGAACAATGTAGGCAATTTCTCATTGAAATGGTTCTGCAGAAGTATAAAGTAGCATGAAATTAAAACAGTAAAGTGCCTCAGAACTTCTCAATTACAATTCTCTAATATGCATAGCTACTTTTCATCACTCTACATTTTATGCAGTTGGGTAGTTTAACTGATATCAGTCCATAATGATTTGATACATCTTCAAAGAATATTTAACTGAGAAGTATGTCTTGAAGTTGTATGTAAGATTAATTTAATGGCATAAGAATACTAAAGTGCAATAAATCCATAAGAAAAGTACTGACGTAGAAGTATAAAGTAATCAAAAGTTAATATTCATTTATTAAGTTGCCTTAAATTTGTGTCTAAATACAGGATTATATAAAAACCCACATTCGTAAACTACTGCTGGCGTTTACTGAGAATACTGTGAGGATATGGTGATGAGCCTGTCTATTGTCACGAGATGATGGCAGCCTTCTAATCACTTAAAAAAAGTCTAAAATATTCTGTTTCGCAATATCAGTTTCAATTTGTAGCAAATGCTGGGATCTCTCATTCAAACTGTGTATCTGTTTTTATTTAAATCACCACAGGTTGACCTCGGCTGTTACCCTATTGAACCAAAATGTAGTGGCTAATTTCCCCAAGTCATAGCGAGAGGTCAGCCAGTCATGCAAGGTTAACTGCTTGATAATATAAAGAGCTATAAACTGTGCATTAAATATTTGGTGTGGCTTTAAGAGTACCGAGTAATCAGAAAGCCCAAGAAAAAAAAAAGAAACAGAAAAAAGAAAACATAGACAATAGAAATGCTCTAACTGAATGGATATGTCTGGTTTACAGTTTTGAAAACAGCTGTTGTAAAATGACACACTGACTTGCTGCACTGTAACGCTTCCATATAATATGTTGTTGTAATTACTCACTGAGAGATGACAGAAGTGCTAAGATCCTTTTACTACACTCATAACTGATATGTCTACATGTCCTAAGAAGCTTCTGGTGATTGACAATAAAATAATAACATAACTGGATGTCCCTTGACAGCTCTATAAGGCTTTGAACTGTGCTATATTGTCCCTAAAGTGTTCATAGGAAATAAAGAAGGCTCAATGCTCTTTGTGGGTAATATTATTTTGGGTGGCATTTTCTGACTACTAAAACAACAGCTTTTGTCTACTAAGAGATATCCAGAAGCTATAGATATGGACAGTTTCTGTGTAGTACAGATACGTGTCCCACTGTCAAAAACAGTTAATAGCTCATAACAAAGTAATTAAAAAACGCAATAAATAATCAAACTGTCTTCCACGATGAAAAGATGCTGTTTTAACTTTCTTTAAAAACATTATTGTTACAATTAGTAATTATTACAGAATTACAAGAGCTTACTATAAATCAAGTAAATATTATCCTCCCCCTGAAGGTAGACCGTATGTAATCTGTCCAGTTTGCTTGTCTGTCTTGTTTGTTACACAGCATCCACAGTTTTCAAGATATAATTTTAAAATTTTGTCTGATACCAATAACAGCTCGAGCTGATTTAATTTTGGTGAAAATTGGGTGAGGGTCAAGGTCCATGGCAAATGTGTAAATCATTAAAAACTTTATACTGCCCCATTTTTTTATGGATTGGTTCAAACTACACAACAATATACTGAGCCAGGCCATGGGGGTCCAAGGTCAATTTTGAACTTGAAACATTTTTTTAAGAAACCATAATGAGTAATATATCAAATGAAAGAGTATGGAGAGAGCTGTAGAACATACTCTTTTTTTCCCAATGCAACACCCTATGGCATCACAGTGATAACCAGACAATTTTGCAAAATCACACACTGCATGAATATATCTTAAAATCTCAAGTTTTTACAACTTATAGAAGCCAAAGATTTCTGCCAGTTCTGCTCCAGTCATTTGGGTCAAGACAAAAAATATATATACAGCATTTTAGTATGTAATGCTTAAAGGTCATAGGTCAAAGGTTAGGGTTATAAGAATGAGGAAAAGGCTTTTGTTTTCATTGGATTATTTACAAACTTTAAACCAATATATTTGTCATGGGGGAGACACAGTTTCTTTGTCTGAGTTAACCTTATTATCTTCAGTAAAAATTATATGACTTCACGAAGACACAAAAAGATTATTATTCTACACTAGATTTCCATATTACCAATGCTGACATCAGCACAAATGATCTATGAAAACAATACAGATGTCATTATTGGGGATGCCAATATTACCAATGCTGACACCATGAAACATCAAAGTTTTAGAGTAGCCATTTAGAGTTGTACTCTCTAAGTCTTCTTAAATTATATAAGAAAATGCAAAGTGGACACTTTCATAAGTAAACTGCCTAGTCTTAAAGTACCTATAAAAAATAAGATAATGTTTAGAGAAAATGTACTGTAACTTAAATTGAATGTGTTCTTTTCCATTTGGGTTATGTGAGAGGTTGTTGCACCATCCTGCAAAAGCAATAATGGATAAACATCCATAAGGTCATAAGTAGGTTTTCTGCATATTGAATTCAGTTTGTATTAAGAAACCCCTCACTGTGTTTTGCCTGGGTGTTCTGGTCAGAGCATTTATAGCCTTTAAGCACATCCGCTCACTGAGTGGAATATTTGTTTTCATGGAAGACCTGTATATTAGAAGCAGATTGTTTTCTTGATGGGGCATTTCTTCCTCACTTCTGCAGAGGTATACCATTGTAAGAGATGGTTGAAGGTGCTTTGTTCAGTCTTTGAGCAGGAGTGTCTGTAGAGAAATGCTTTCAACCTTCAGTCATAACCCTACATGTCCGACATTCCTGAAGCTCAACAGCTCTGCTTGAACCACGCTGTACAATGTGTGAGCCAATACTGAAATAATAGCCTTGACTTTTCAATTCACCACTGCCTTTTGTTGTTTAGAGGCTGTAAGGACGTGGATGGCTAAAAGGTTCAATTATGTTACAAAAGCAAAGGGAGAAAACCAAAGTATTTGGTCTGTTTTTCTATCCAATTCAACAGAAAAGTGCTTAGTATTCATAAATCAGTCACTGCGGTCTATAATGGAAAAGCCGAGATAAAAGCATAGCATTATTTATTGAACAAATCCCTCTTATGGTGAATGGTTACACTAAATACATTTTGTGCTTTTTTGTTTAGTGCTAAATGTTTATATAGCATTTTGCTCAGTCAAAGACAGAATTATTGAATATTTCATTTGAGTGGAAAAAGCAAGTTGCATGTTAAGGTGAATTACTTATCCATATACTGAACAATATATATCAGCAGCATATTGCAAATATAGATGCTAAATAATGCAAATCTAATGTAAAGCCAAAACAACTCAGTTTTGTTTTTTATGGGATTTTCTTATGGTTTCCCCTCATTCGTGAGAGAGAAGCAGGCATGTACAATATCAGAAGATTAGACAGGTACCAGATCGCCTTATATCTGGATACAGTCTCAGGAACAAGTGCATGCTCATAAAGCCCTGTTTGGGCAGCGTAAAGAAGCTGTTATTAATTTTGTGAACAGATGCAAGGGATGAACACACTCAGTGAAGTTGTGTAAAAAGGTATACATTACTGCTATATATGTTGCAGGAAGATGACCAAGAAAATCTGGCCTCCCCTCATAACAACAGTATGATTTTCAACAGGACATGATGGTATGGAAAAAAGAATTGAGACCACCTTATGGTGGATAAATCATGTTCTTCAATGTGAATATATTCCCAAAATGTATGCTACTCCAAACATGTTGGAGTGCCATATAACTGAGGCTGCACTGACATTTTTTAGGGCATTTAAAATTGAACCTACCACTTTAATCACTCGACTAACTGAAAGACTCTGGGTGCTTTTCATTAGTCTAACTGATGCTTCCTCTCGTCTTCTCTCCTCCTGCGACCCGGAAATCGTTCCCTCTGTGCTATGTAGGATTTTCCAGTTCCTTAATTACACTTTGAGGAGACCCGGAGCAAAAAGAGAGGAGCCTTCTGCAGGAGCTTATTAAGTCAAGTAAGTGTTAGTCCCCATTT